TGTAAATATTAAAAAAGACAAACATAACATATATACAACAAACATTTATACAACATATACACAAAAAGATTATAATTTCTTCTTAAGCATTTTTTCAAAGTGACATTCTACAATTCTACTTATAATATATTCCTTCACCTCTCCTTAATCTAATAACATTTTTTAAATATATTTATATATTTAAATCGGTAATATTTCCCCCTATATTTTTTTGTATATTTCTTATTTTTAACCAATTATATTTATTTATTTAACCAATTTTGTAATAATCTGATTTATTCTATTACAGAAGTAATAGAAAAATTTTTAGAATGTGCTGAAATGGATAGGTTAACCAAAGAATTACAAGAAAGAGAAGAATCAGATTAAGAAATAGGAAATTAAGGAAGGGAAAGGGAGAGGGGGTGTGAAAAAGAAGGGGGAAGAGAAAAAGAAAGAAAAGGGGACATTGACTTCCAACTCTTCCTAGCACAGTACAAGATAAACACATTCCAGCCTCAACTTTTTGCTTTTACACATTAATATATAATTAGCCATTTCTATAACACCAAATCTTTCTAATCAACAAAACCAAGATCAAAGTTTCATTTTTTTCTTCACAAGCACAAATTCCAGAAGTGATATCCAAATAAGAACATATTTTCCTCTTTAAATAAAGCAATCAATTTAACCATTCCTGCTTTATCTTCCTTGCTATGGAAATAATGTGTATTTCAATTTGCACCTAGTAACCTTTGTGAACTGTCACCATTTTTATTTACAAAATTTATTGTATTCTTTCAAATTCTTTGACCTTACTTAAAAAGGGGGGGGCTTTTTTCACCCTTTTTTCCTTCAAAGTATTAAACTTTTTTTAAAAAAAACACTTTTTTAAAAATCAAAAGTTTCTAATATATCTTTTTCTTTGACTTCTTAACATACACGCTTTAAACTTCAGTATTGCGTTTAGATCCTTCCTTCCAAATTACTCTTATAGAATTTTTTTTTCCTTTTGTAAACAAGGTAAATGTATCGATGATTTAGGGTGTGTCCACTGTACCTGAGTGTGTGTGGTCCACCCTCTTTGCAAAGTGAGAATAAAATTACCATTGTTTTCCCTTGGAAGTTTTGGCTGGTAATTGTTTATTTCCAAACTAGATAATGAATCATGATTTGGTACTTAAATTCCAAACTATTGGACAGATTATTTCCACAATGATAATGTTCTTCTTGCAGGCGTGCATACTCTTGCAGCAATTTCTTGCTTTCTAATTTTATTAAATACAAAAGCCATGGTATTTTCTTTCTTGACGAATGGTACTTTAACTCAAGGAAGAGAACATACTTCTTTCAAATGTGACAGCAGCAACCAAGTGTTACTGCAATGGCATGCAGAGAATGTGTGCCTCTTCTCAGACTCTTATCCATTTGAAGTGTTGATTGCAAAGCATTTGTCTGTACTGTTTTGGAATGATTATTTTCTCTTCTACTCCAAATGCCTTTTAGCTTTTGATAAGAGGGCAATAGCCCTGAGAAGGGAATAAGTTCTTTTTTACTACTTAGGAGTATTGCTTATAAAGTGGAGTTGAGTAGGTCCCATCTAACCACAAGGGGTATTTTTTCTAAGGATGTGATCAAACTTGCATTTGGGTTGCAGCAATATTTTTATTGTCTCTACTGTTCTTTCCTGAATATATATTTCTCGTGTACAATAATTTTCCTTTTAATTATTGCTTAACTAATATTTGGCAAACTAATGTTTGCCAAAATTCAGTGGGGATTATCCACAATATTACAGTGGAAATATGAAATACAGTAGCATGATTACATGAATATGAAGTATTCATTCCTGTTGCTGCTAAAATATGCTATAATTCAAGGTGCTGTTTGTCACTTTCAAAGCCCTACATAGTTTGGTACCAGATTATTTAAAGGACTGTCTTTTTCCAGCCACATCTACCCAACCTATAAAAGCAAGAAGACAGGGAATGTTACGTGTCCCCTCTCCTAAGGAGGTCCATCTAGCAGGACCAAGAAGAGCCTTCTCTGTGGTGGCTCCCTCCCTATGGAACATCATTCACATCTTTTGCAAAGCCATGAAGACATAGTTTTGCCAACAGGCCTGGGGACCCCAAAGTAGGATGGAGCCTGTCAAATGGTTCATGTGATTGTTGTCACTGGAGGGGGGCGGTAAATATTGCTTTCTTATTGTTTTTGTATTGGGTTTTTATCATTGCAAGCAGCCCAGAGTCATGAAAGTCAGTTGAGCGGTCATATAAATTTTCACAAATAAATAATAGAGTGTTTTAATTTAATATCATTAATAAATAAGTCAAATAAACTGTATGCAATAGAGTTCAGAAGTAGATTTCTGGATAAAATTATTATACACATTGTTTTTGTATGGACCAAATTTATAGTTGAATTGACTCTGTTTTTTGCTTGGTTAGATTCTGAAACAAATCTATTCATTGTCATAAAAACAAGAATTCAGAATTGGTATAAATTACCTTCTATTCAATCTATTCATTGTCATAAAAACAAGAATTCAGAATTGGTATAAATTACCTTCTGAACCAATGTGACATTTATTCTGCCAAATAAATCAAATTTTGTTTGCTCATTGCTTTACTGAGGAAAATAACCTAAATTCCCAACCCTTTGGGCCAATCCCTCACTCTAGAGCTTTCATTGCTTTCCTATCTAGTCTCACAGTTACTACTGTTGAGCCAGATGCCATCTATCTGATACCTGTGCATTTGGTTTTTCTTGCCTAACTGCAGGACCTTTCTTTTGTCACCACTGAACTGCATTTTGTTGGATAGAGTCCAAACAGATCAGAGGACACTGGCTGTGAATGTAAGATGTAGCATTCTGTATGTCCATAATGTGCTAAAACAACTGCCTTCCATCGATAAACAGTGCCATGTGTAAGGTTGGCTTCAGACACTTCTAATTGGGGTCTACAGAGCACAGAAACAGGGAGCAGTAAGTAGTCCAAAACAACAAAAAAGAGCAACCCAAGTATGTGAGGATGGAAAAGAAAAAAAAATAATATTGGTGGCCATAATCCACTGGTGAAATCCAATTTTTTTTTTACTACCGGTTCTGTGAGCATGGCTTGGTGGGCATGGAAGGGGAAGGATACTGCAAAATCTCCATTCCCACCCCACTCCAGGGGAAGGATACTACACAATCCCCATTCCCACCCCACTCTGGGGCCAGCCAGAGGTGGTATTTGCCAGTTCTCCAAACTACTCAAAATTTCCGCTACCGATTCTCCAGAACCTGTCAGAACCTGCTGGATTTCACACCTGTCATTGCCATTCCTCCAGTATCTACAACCAGTGCTTGACCAACCCCACCATTGCACATATTACACACCACCAAATTACACCTCTGGCTTTCTTGCTGTGGGGAGGAGAGGAAAGCAGGCTAGAAAGTTAAACTATGATGTGTCAACATGCTGTGGTCAGCGTAAGCCCATCCCTAGCTCAACCCAAAGTCTGGTCAAGGACAAGTGCACAGGATATCCTAGAAGTACATGGATAACATTATACTGTGTTAGAGCAGGGATCCCCAACCCTCTACAGCCTGCAGCACAGTAGTGGCTGCGGCCTGTTTGCAACCGGGCCATGCGAGCTATGGGCAAAGCATGCGCCTGCTTGCATGAAGGTCCACTTGTGCAAGCAGTGGGCCCTTGCACACATACAAAGCTCCACTCACACAAGTGGAGGGCGCTCAAACATAAAGCTCCATTCACAAGAATGGAGCTTCGGGTGCGAGCACAAGTGCCCTTTGGTCACATGAGTGGAGCTTCGGGCAACTGCAAGGGCCCACCACTTGCAGTGGAAGTGGAGCTTTGCAAGCAAGCACAAATAGCCTCCACTCAAGTACCCTCCGCTTACATTCCTTCCAACCCCCCCCTTCATCCCTTCCACCATCCTGTCAAAACCTATCCTTCCATCCCCCCACTATCCAGGTAAAGCTTCTTGGATGAGAAGCAAACTGTCTTCTTCCTCCTCCTCAAGAAAAAAAACAGTTGAGTTGCCTTTTTGAAAAAGCACCTTTGAGACTACTATGACCTGAATGACAGAGAATCTCCATAGACATCCTGTAAAGGCTCTGCAGAGGATAAAAGATAACTCCCACTGGTATTTCTGCCATGACTTTGGCCTACAGATGGGAAAAGATGATGGTTCTACCATGGCAGAATGGCATCTATAAGCATGCATGTTGATTCATGCTAATAATCTTTCTTCCATACTTTGTAGAGTGGTGCGTAGCACACATTTCTCTTGGTTGCCACCATATTGGCTGCTTACATCATTGTTGTGCAGCTATGCAGAAACTAAGGCACACATGAGGGGAGGTGAACCCCACTCCCCACTCCACATTACCAGAATGACCAGATTTCCACTCACAAAATTACAGTTGACTGAATGCAAACTGTGGGGAAGACGAATGCCAACCATCTGTGTGCAGCTGTGTAAGCTGAGATCTGTGGAATAATTTATACATTCATTTGGCTATCAATCTCAAATTCATGCCTCTGGAAGCTAATAACAATTAAACAAAACAAAATTAAGCAAAAACTTTGAACAATTTAAGCATGCAATCAACAGCTGAGGTAAAAAAAACACCAGCAAATTAACAGAAACATATGGGCTCGGACACAATATTAGGTCTGCAGTGTGGACTTCTCTTTAAGGGTAGCAGGCACCCAAAGCACAGCAGGAAAGCTATGAACAACATGGCTAAACCTCTGTGGATGGGATTCCATTCTCCTGTATGAGGTTGGTCATGACAAAGTGAGAAAGGGGAAAGTGAGCAACTATGTGTGCAATAAGAATACTGAATACTAAGCGCTGGAATTTATGGAGCTCTGTTGAGCACCCAGTATACTAGTTCACCCCATCTACATGAGTAGCAAGTGACTCAGTGACACCAACCATACAGACAAAATAAACAAAACACAAATCACGTTCAAAAACATTTTGTAGAAGTCTATCAATGATCTATTGTCTTTGTTTTTTAATTTTTATTGAAAATTATTAAAAATTACAGGAAAAAATATAGCAATATGGATAGAATTGCAGAGTTATATAATCGATATAGAGTTTTAAGGCATCAATTTTTGCTTAGAAATAGTACAAACCTCCATTAAACCAAATCATCAAAAAAAGATTATCCAGAAGAAAGAATTCTCAGCTGCCATGCAATATTCCTATAAATATTTACCCACAGTCACACTAAGATTATTATTTTACATTCTTCTTAAGATTTCTTTTTTGCAGCCAAGCATACCAGCGGTCCCAACTCATATATAGCCCCGATTCTTGTCTATCTCGCAAAAGTTCGGTAAGCTTGTCTGCCTCTGCACAGTCTATGATCTTTGCAGTTAACATAGCCTCCAATGGGATATTTTTGGATTTCCATTCTTGCGCAAACGAGATCCTGGCTGCAATGATGACGTGGAGAGTGAGATATCAATTAGATTTGTTTAAGTTCTCTGGTTTCATGCCTAGTAAAAACGTTTCTAGGTTCAATTTTTTTTTTCATTTTTAAAAATACAATACTTTACATATATACATACAAGGTTATTGCAACTAACAATTGTATCCTACATCCTATGATTTCTAAAATCCATTTTTGAATTCTGGTCCAATATTCTCTTACTCGGGGACAGGTCCAACAGATAAGAAAATAAGTTCCCATAGCGGTGTTACATTTCCAACAAACCGGGGAGGTTCCCGGGAACATCTTCGATAATTTAACCGGAGGGAGGTGCCATCTATACAGCATTTTATATGTATTTTCCTTATAGGAAACCGACATTGTTAGTTTTAGGGTTTTCCCCCAAATTTCTTCCCATTTTTCAAGCTCTATCGAATATCCCAAATTTCTCCCCCAGGCAATCATTGAGTCCTTGATAACCTCCTCTCCGATCCAATCCATTAAGAGGAATTGATACAGTTTGGATAATACCTTCTCATCCTTTCCCAACAAGATCTTATCAAGTTCTTGTAGGGAATTATAGATTCCTCCCTTGTTTTTGTCCTGAGCTGTCCTGGATTGGACCTGATTGTATGTCAACCAAGCCTAATTCCACCAGCGTATTTCGAGGTTTTACTTTGCCTAAAGGATCCAACAGAACTTGGTAAATTAATAGTTTATTTCTGTTATAAAGGGTCAGGTATATATCATCACCTCTAGAGGGGAAAGCCAAATCGGAGTCATCAGGTAATATTTATTTATTTGAAATAAATGATCTATTGTCTTTGAACCCACAATGTTTCTATTGACCCAAGCATTCCCTTGGCTTTATTTGTCATAACCTCAAAACAACAATGCTTTAATAAGGAATAAAACAAAAAAATGAAGGAACTCAGGAAACGTGATGCATGTGGTTATTCTGTGTGCAAGCATTTCGGAAAGTAGGAAAAGAAAGGGAACTAGGGAGGAGGAAACAATTCCAGAAAGGAAGGCAGGTATATGCATCGGTCAACAAGGCTTGCGTTTTCTCACATAGCTGAGAAGCACAAGAACAGTCAATAATTGCAAACCATTGGAATCTGGACTGGAACGTGCTACGGCAGTTTCAACAATGGCTGAGAGTGGCATAGAAGATAGGCAACTTTGAGTCGTTATGACCTTAGGTCTCCAACTCATCTTAAGCCTCCAACTCATCTTAAGCCTCCAACTCATCTTAAGCCAGTTTACAGTTGACAAGGGCCTGGTGGCTCAGCAGACTAAAAGCATTGTGATTAACACCAAGTGTCTGCAATTACTGTAAGTTCGAATCTCACCAGGCTCAAGGTTGACTCAGCCTTCCATCCTTTCTAAGGTAGGTAAATTGAGGATCCAGTTTGTGGGGGCAATAAGCTGACTTTGTATAAATATACAAAAGTATGAAGGCTATTGCTTAACGCATTGTAAGCCGCCCTGAGTCTCTGGAGAAGGGCGGCATATAAATCAAATTTAAAAAAAAACAAAAACTTCACATTACTGTCTTGTAACTGTTTTCCATGTGGATATTGCAGCTTTTGAGTTTAGCAGCTGACCCTTGCCTTATCTGAGTAGTTGCCAGGTGTCCACTATTTGAGCGGACAGTCCGCTTTTTTCACATTATGTTCACTATTTTTTTTCACAAAATAGTGGACATTTTTTTTATTCAAAAGCTTTATGATGAAATGGTACGTAATCTAAAGCTGTACAGTCTAAGAGAATAAGAATAGGAGAATCGCGTTTTGTCTTTTTTTTTCATAAGTTAGAATGAGACAAAGATCGAATATCCATTGAACTCGATTCTCCGAAAAAATTAATGATGAGATTAAAATAAAAATATATTATAAAATTATGTACAGTTCACATTTTTAAAATGTATTGTAGCTTGTGTCGACTGACCTAAAATGGCATCGAGTGATGAGTGACAGCGGTGAGATTTCGAATTCTTTAAAACGAAAGAGAGGAGTGTGCAAATACACCAAAGACTGGGAAGCTACTTTTGCATGGATTAACAACAGAACAAATACAGATACGGCGGCCTACTGTAAATTGTTTGTAAGAAAATATATAATTTAATTGTAAATTTTTTTAAAAATTTTTTTACTACTTACTCCCCCCCCCCCCGACTATTTTTTGGAAGCAGACCTGGCAACCCTAAGCTGCATGAATAATAGCCCCCACGGCCTGTTTAGATACCTGTTCATACAATATAACCTTTCTACGCCCAGGTCTTCCCACCACGCTATTTGGGAGCACTGGCTAAAAGGAGAAGAAGCTGCTTCTAAGTGTGTACCCTTCTTTCGGATTGGTGGGCATTACCATTGCACTACCACTGAGGCAGCAGACAGCAACCAATTTAAGAACTAGAAGCAAAGCAGAGTTCATTTTCCCAGCCGCCGGAAGCTGCCTTTCTGTACGCTTGAAAGGATACAGCAGGAAGGTATCCCATTGCTCTATTTTTGCTCTTTCGTCAATAAAGGGAGGAGATGGGGGGAACCAATAGCCCCACCCAGTGTCGACTCTATCTACATACCTTCTCCTCCCTTGACTGGAGAGCGCAGCCAATGGACATGCGACTAAGGCGTGTTCCAGCTGGCGTGGGTGGATGAGAGAAGAAGCATGTAAGTGGGGGGCTGACAGGCAGAGAAAACGCTCGTGATTAGATTTTTGTTATCCATCATGGCATCCAAGTGCCCCAAGTGCGACAAGACTGTCTACTTTGGTGAGTCTTTTTCTCCTTTTTTGCATTATTGTATTTCTCGGAGCTTGTATCTCTCTCCTGTATTAGTGTTTTTTAAACCCTGCAATTTAGAGATTTGAGCGCTCTATCCCAGTTGATAGTGATGCTTGGCTGTCTTTTTCAACGACACATTCCGGTTCTCTGCCCTGACTGAGAAACTGCCTTCTGAAGCACCCAGACTACGTAGGAAGGGCTGGGAGGGGTGTCGGCCTTCTTTCCAGGGAGCGTTTCATAGCTCAGTTTCTTTCCCCTCTCAAAAATGTTTCTCTGAAATAAATCTTATTGGTTATATGGGAAAAAAATATATGATTTACTCGTTGTGGGACCGCAAAGACCAGCCGTTGTAGGTGATAACTCAATTCCCTTTGTTATCTATCATCACTCCTCTCCTCATTTTGAGATATTTTCCAGTTGATGACTGAGATGCCCTTAAACCAAGAACAGATCTCCCTATGGAAGTGCACTATGATTTTCCTAAATCCTTGTGGATTAAGATTAAGGGTTTTTAATTTGCAGAAGATGCAGGTTTTAGAAAAGTTTAGAATTTTTTTTTCTAAAACCAAACAATTCCTCTATCTCTCGCTGCTTCTTCCAAGAAGTTAGGAGTGGTTCAAATTCCCCTCTTCAGCCATTTCCATTTATTCCATCTCAACCCCACCCAAGGCTATTGCTGCATTTCTGTGGTATCCATGTCAGTTTCAGCCATGGTAAAAAAATAGAATCTCCATTTTCACAACCAATATAATTCTGAATCCCAGAAGTTACAGACAACAGAGAAATATATCATCAAAATACTCTACTTGGAAATTTCTTTGGTAGATGTTGCAAACAGAACAGAGTGCTCCAGAAATTCTGCCCAACACATACCAAAAATATTTTTTCTTTTTCTTTTAGGTTTAAAAATTTCCTTCCTTTCCATATTTATTCCAGGGCCTGATAACTACTTTCCAAGAAGAAAACTTTTATCTAAATCAGTTCTGTCTCATATTCAAAGTACATTATTATTTTTCTCACTTAGACTGGTGCTGCTGTTGTTTTAGTAGCACATCTGATCAGTCTCTGTTCTTGTTTAAGATAAAGCATATTAAATGTGAAGCTGCTCCACTAGCAGGACCTACCCAGCTCAACAATTATCTACTGGAACAGAGCTTTGTTTTCATATATGATCTTAAATATTTGAGGGGGCATTGGTTGGAAGGAAATTGTCAACGTAAGCATGAAATCAGTTTGGTCTAGGTGAGTTAAGGCACTTGGCTAGAATGAAGAGACCATGAGGTCAAATCCTGTCTTGGCCATGAAAGTCAACTGGGTTGGGTAATCTCAGACTAGTCACTCTCTCAGCCCAACACACCTCACAGGGTTGTTGTGAGGAAAATAGGAGGAGGAAGGTGTGTTGGATATGTTTGCTGCCTTGAGTTGTTTGTAAAAATAACAAAGGCAGGAAACAAATTCTGTGCAAGTACAGGTGTCTCTGTAAGACAATACTTGGTCATCTTGTTGTACCTTTACAAAAGCATCTGTAACTTCTTTTTGTTGGAAGCAGCTTCTGTGTGAGAAGATGAGAAACATACATGTTGAAGGCAAATTGATGTTTCCTATTATTGCAAAATATATGGTATCCTTAAAAACCAAAAGTGTTCACAAAATGGTTTATAAATATCCTTTATTAAAGCCCCAATTGCCAAAAGCAGGTAGGGAAAACAGTGAGAAATTTGGAGCTCCTATAATGAACAAGACATTCTGTACATGACATGAAAGTATGGAAATGTTGTAAAAGATCATATTCTCTAGTGTTTAGATATCAGAAAACAAGGAACTCTGACAGTAATACAGATTAATGACCTTAATTATGTGTTGAACTGTGGCCAACATTTTATGGGCCCATAACTTTATTTTAATTTAATTCTTATTTATATTGGTTTATAATCTTTGTTCTCAGGGGTGGGATTCAGCTGGTTCAGACTGGTTCAGGTGAATGGGTAGTTATGGCCAGCAGCTGGGCCTGCCCACCCGCCCCAGCGCTATCCCGTCTTATAGAGTCACCGTGTTTTTGATGCCTGTTCCTGTGTAAGAATATGTCCTTCAATATTTTAATTGTTGTTGACAAATTCCCATGGGGTCAATGTCACCCAGTGGTGACATTCAAAATTTTCCCCTACTGGTTCTGTGGGCGTGGCTTGGGGGAGGGGTTTCCTGTGACTGTGTGGGTGTGGCCAACTTGATGTCACTCATGGCCATGCCCACTCACTCACATGACCCCCCCCAAAGCCATGCCCACAGAACCCGGTAGGAAAAAATGTGTGTATGAGCACGAGAAGGGCTCATAGTGAATGCTGTGGCAGAGAGAAGCTGAACTTTTCTCCCTCCATTTACAGTGGAGCTACTGGCCCCCTCCCTCCCAGGGGTCAAAGTACCTGAAAGGGACAGACTGCAGCAGCTCCGCTGTGAATGGAGGGAGAAAAGTTCAGATTCTCTCTTCTGCATTTAACATTGAATTCTGTGGCAGAGAGAATCCGAACTTTTCTCCCTCCATTCACAACAGTGTTGCTGCTCCCTTTATGGTCCCCCCAACCCCCTCCCTCCTGGGAACTACCTTAAAGGGACAGGCTCAGTGATGGGATTCTACCAGTTTGGACCAGTTCGGGAGAACTGTTTGCTCCGACTTTCAGCTGTGAGTGAACTGGTTCTTTCTTTCTTTGAAGTGGGCCCACCCGCCTGCCCCTGCCTTATACTTACCTATATTTCTGCTTCTAAAGCCCAGCTGATCGGGGCGGCAGAGTGGATTGCCACTCCTCAGCTGTTTTCCTTGCT